ATTGCTGAAGAATCAATGCACACACCCTCCGGACGTGCGCGTGCCCACACTTGGAAGCAATGGCATCGTAGTACACGCGTCTCTGGGCTGCTGTCCCCGAACAGACTCACAAGGCTGTATGAACCATTGGGGAGGATTGAGGCACCTTCTCCGGCTGATGACCTCCCTGATGCTTACCAAGGCAAACACTGCTTTCAATGCGGACTCTAAACTACTTTGGTCTCAAAAAAATGGTCGAAATCGCCTCAGCTGAAAATCGATCAATTTTGAGAAATTGAACGAATCACAGCTACTAGTAGCTGGAAGCTACTAGGTGGAGGCCATCGCTACTAGCAACAAGAAGCTACTAGTAACAGTTTGTTTGGAAAAGCCAACGCTACTCGCCGAGCCTTCGCGCCAGGCCCGCCAGGCCCATCAGGCTCGCCAGACCCGCCAGGCTCGCCAGGCCCGCCTACGAGTGTTGCAAAAAAAAAATTGACTGATAGCAACGGCCTCCAACCAAAAAACTAAAATGTTAAAATAACACAAAAATGATTTGAGTAGGTAATGGTAGCAAGATGTATAGCTACTAGTAGCGATTCAGTACCAACTACCGCAGGAAAACTTACGTTTTCTCATTCGGAAACTTGCTCAACTTGCACATTCCCGATCCTCTGCCGAGAGGCCGTCCACGCACTGCAGAGTCCGTCCTCTACCCAGTGGGGGGTCATCCATTTAGTCAACAAAAAATCAAGCGTTCTTGTTCCTAGTAGCGATGCCCTTTGTTACTAGTAGCGTCCTTGCTCCTAGTAGTACGGCCAGGAGCCCCTAGTAGCGTTCTTGTTCCTAGTAGCGATGCCCTTTGTTTCTAGTAGCGTCCTGGCTTTTAAAAATCAAGTTTGTCAAACCTCTCAAAGCCGTTCTTGCACCTTTCCTCTGAGATCTCTCACGGCGGGCTGCTGCCAAAGCGGCCTGCACTTGCTGCTCACAACGTGCTGCGCACCTCTTGGCGTGCCGTGCGTATGACTTCCACCTCTGCATCGAAGTGCATCTCCTCATCCTCATCCTCATCCTTCCAAGTTCGCACAAGTGGATCGCGCAAACGATCCTCACGAGTGTTGCGGTCAGTGGGTTTTTTCCTCCTGGACCAAAACGTGCACTCTCGGAGGCGACCTAGAGCACAAGTGCACAAGCGAAGAAATATTGAAGTAAATACATTGTGTCATTGTCTTTCTCTTTTTGGCCGTAGAGGTAGTAGCTGGAGGTAGCTAGTAGAAGCAAATGCAGCTAGTGCTTAAGTAGCTACTACTTAGAACGCAGGATAGCTCACCCTTCAAGGAAGCTCCCCCCGCCGCCTTAGAAGAAGCACTCGCACTAATCATTTGGTTCCTAAATGTTTAGGAAAACTTAAGACGTTGCTTCCCCACCTCGTGCGAGGAGGAGAGACGATGTGCTCACGCCGTTCTATTCCGGGCATCTGCAAGGGCACTTCGGTCATCCTAGCACAGCCCGGGAACTGGAATTCGAAAGAGACCTCTAAGCGGTCTCCGCAGACTCCCATAGTCTCCCTATTTACACCTACAGTATGTGCAATGCCTATCTGTTTCAGCGTCCTCACGATCTCGTCGCAGTGGGGCCACAAAGATCCTTGGACACAAGGTTCGCTACTAGTAACAGGTGCATCGCTAGTAGTAACAAGTGCCTTACTAGTAGTAACAAGAAGCTACTAGTAACAAGTGCCGAGAACAGATTGTCAGCCGAGGCCCAAGGCCTGCGGCCGAGGCCCGTGCGTTGTGGCCGAGGCAAGCTGGGAAGCTCTGCACGGGAACCTGCGGAAAACCAGGGAACGAGAGGAAAACGAGGAGGTTAGAGGCCATCGCCTTTAGATTGGAGGCCAAGGCAGGTAGGTTGGAGGCCATCGCCATTAGGTTGAAGGACATCGCTCTTAGGTTGGAGGCCAGCGCTTCTAGGTTGAAGGCCACTATTCTAGGCTGGAGGCCATCGCCATCGCCATTAAGTTGGAGGCCATCGCTCTTACGTTGGAGGCCATCGCTATTGTAGGTTGGAGGCCATCGCTTCTAGGCTCGATGGCTTCTAGGTTGCAGGATTTCTACGCTGGAGGCCATCGCTTCTAGGCTGGAGGCCATCGCTATTAGGTTGGAGGCCATCGCTATTAGGTTGGCAGGCCCTAGTAGAAACAACGAAAAAGGAAAAGTCAGAATGGAAGAAACTCTCGGGGGTTCACATCGAAGAAAGACCCACCTCGCACCAAGGCTCCAGGAAGTTGTGGCCTGGTATTCGTGACACAATTTACTGTACCCTGTGACCCTGTCTTCACGACAAGTCTACAAAGGTGCCTTACTAGTAGTAACAAGAAGCTATTAGAAACAAGTGCCTCGCTACTAATAGCTTCTTGTTACTAGTAGTAAGGCACTTGTTACTAGTAGCGATGCACTTGTTGTGTGGTGTTCACATCCTTCGTGTTGCCGTTCATCGCGTTGTCTTCTCTCCTGTGGAGGGGAGCATGACCATGGCTTGGAGCAAGAACTGCCACCACCTGAAACGATGCAGACTTTCCAAGCTTCTTGTTACTAGTAGCGATGCACTTGTTTCTACTAGCTTCTTGTTACTACTAGTAAGGCACTTGTTCCTAGAAGCGATGCTTCCCTCAAAATTCGAGTGTTTTGCCTCACCCATCGAAAGTCGGCAGAATCTCCGAGAATTCCGGCAAAGCAAAATATATCAGAACGTCACGAGAAGTTCTAAAAAGCTGACATATCGGCAACCCAAACGCCCAAGCAGCCATGCCTCCCCGGTGAACTGTGTCTTCTCGAAATAGGATGAAATCGCACCTCCGTTACCATTTAACTCCCGCATCTTCCTGGTATCAAGTTTGTTCACCATTATTATGTTCTTGAAAATGAAAAGCAATCTTGATAGACGAAAAAGAGAAAACAAGAATTGGATAGACAACGAAAACAACGAAAAGCAAGGAAGCTTCTAGGGGCTCCTAGCATCGCTACTAGGAGCAAAGGGCATCGCTACGAACAACAACAAAGGCAAGACAAAACGAATCCGTCGACGGTCCTGAAATCGACATCCAAGGCTATCCAAGGCTCCACGTCTCGGCACCAAACACAGGTTGATGCGATTCGCCTTTGTGGACCTAGTGACTACCTGGTCACTGTTTCTTTGGTGGAAAGGTGATTTGCGGTGTAAAACAAAATAATCAAAGTAACACAATATGAAAATGAAAAAGGTGTTTCAGTGATTTGCCATTCGTGCCTGATCTTGCCATCTTGACACCTGCTGACACCTTGACACTGTTGAAGCTGCCTCATGACATTGAATTGAAACACAAATAACCTTGGCCAAATCCATTATATACATCCAAGTGTGTAGCAATCAACAGCGGAGGACACATTTTTTCCCCAGATGCTACTGTAGTCTGTAGTTGTGCTTTTGGCACCTTCGACACCTCTGCACAATTGGCCCCAAAAAACCTAAGCCTGCACCTTCGTGGAACTGCTACCAGTTGTGCACCACTTGTGTTTGCGAAGACCGAGGCACAGGGCTTATACGGGTCTCATGGTCCCATGGTAACCCAAATAAATGGTGAGACATTCGCGGCTCAGTGTTTCAGTTGTGATGTTTCTTGATGCCACCTGCATTCGCTCAAACGCTTTGGGCAAACTTTATCCCACACCGAGTCAGAATGGTTCTGGTGCAAGAAAGTTGCAGATATTGGTGGACTCTAGATGAACTGTGAGCCCGTGCAACGTTCTTTCAAAAGAACTTTGGACATGCAAGCGCTTTGGACCCCTAAAGTGTCACTGCATTTGCTGCAAAAAGACTACATTGAAGTTCACAAGGAACGCAAATTGCCAGACTGTGAGACTCAACGACACAGACAGAGTGTCACCAGACTGTGATGCTCTTCCGGACATGGTTTGTGCACTTTGAGCATAGGCATAGCGGGCCCGAGGGGCTTGACCACTGACCTAACCTGACAACACGAGGTCGGTTGAACTGTTCGGTCTGCTTTTCGACCGACCTCGAGGATGGTTTTTGCAGCGAAACCGCTTCGTGTACGACCACTGAAACGAAAATGGCATGAGAGGAAGAGCTTTTGAGAGGAAGGACCCAAGGTGCTTCACTTGGTAAACACAAGCTTCAGAAACATTGTGCGATCGACATGAGTGAGCCATGTTGAGCCAAAGTTTCATCTAGTCACATTGTGGGTTCATAAGATTTCATAAGTGACCTAAAGTGACCTTTTTGCATGGCTTTTTCACAACTCCCAGTTTTGGACAGTGCCGTGTTCCGAGTATCCCCTCTCTAACCGGCACCGGATACTCAAAACTACAAACTCAAACATACCTGAATGTCGCCATTCAGTTCAAAAAGGTATCGGTATCATGTGAAGATTAGTGGAGAACGGATGGCTGCACTTCCGCTGCTGTTCGCACTTATTTCATGCATGGTTCTGGGTCCACTCTGCCAGAACTCAATGTCTGTGCATCACCATAGGTTTGCCCACAATACACAACTTCTGTGTTCGGGGGCAGCTAGACATAGGAGGGCTCTTAAACATGAGTAAACCATGGTGTTGACTGGAAAGTAAACCGGATCTTTTGCCAAGTAACAAGAAGCTAGTAGAAACAAGTGCATCGCTACTAGGAACAAGTGCCTTACTAGTAGTAACAAGAAGCTACTAGAAACAAGTGCCTCGCTACTAGGAGCAAGTGCCTTACTAGTAGTAACAAGAAGCTACTAGATACAAGTGCCTCGCTACTAGGAACAAGTGCCTTACTAGTAGTAACAAGAAGCTAGTAGAAACAAGTGCATCGCTACTAGGAACAAGGGCCTTACTAGTAGTAACAAAGTTTGCTATTTAAATTAAGGCTCCGCGACCTCTTTCCCTTTGCCCCAGGCCCACGCCCAACCCGCCGCGCCCAACAGGCTTCACGTCTTCAGCAACGTCACGGTAACGGCGCCTCTAATGGCAACACCTTGTGTGGTCACCCCATTGGCTGATGCGTGAAGGTCGGTGCACTTCTCCAAGCTGAACTCCTAACGTCATCAAAACACTACCTACTGGCGATGGCCTCCATGCATAGAACGCTGACTTTGTGCTTTCACGCATAGAACGCTGACAGCGCAAATCCCTTGACTTCAGCTCTTCTCTTCCTCCTTCGGATGCTTTGATTCAAAGTGCATCTGCATCGACTTCCTCAGCCACAGGGTACAATGACCAACTTCTTGAGCATAATCTGATGACATGATGCGCAGGTGTATGTAACTGCAATGTTTGCTACCTTATCTTAAGAAGAGCTGCCTACCCCTCTAAAAGCACGAAATAGAAAAAAGGATAAAAAAGGGACAAATATTTGTCTGGTCTCGGGTCAGGAGCTGATTGCATACAAATAGTGCATTTGTATTTGGAATGTCCCACGGAACCACCAGCTCGATCCTTTTGACCTGCAGAACCACCTCCTCGATTGACCGTGGCATCCTTCTCCTCGAGGGAACACGAAACACGAAGCAAGTAGCTACTAGTAACAAGAAGCTACTAGGGCCTCCTGGCATCGCTACTAGGAGCAAGGACGCTACTAGGGGCTCCTGGCCGTACTACTAGGAGCAAGTAGCTACTAGTAACAATCAGCAAACAAAACATCGAGTTTTGTAGGTTCCAGATCAAGTGGCCACCCATCTCGGGGGGATCAGTTCCAGTTCCAATTGCATTACAACTCATGTGATGAAATACAACATGTTTGACGTGGGGGGAAGGAGATCCAGTTACAGGTCCAGGTCCAGTTCTCTCTCCGGTGTCAGATCCAATTCTAGTGGCCACGTCCATTCGTGACATGATTTTTTGTTGGGGGGAAATCTAGTTCCAGTTGAGATCCAGTTCCAGATGCAGTTCCAGTTCTAGATCCAATTCCAGATCCAGTTCCCAGTTCTAGATCCAGTTCCAGATCCCGTTCCAATTCCAGATCAAAAGTCCAATTCCTCTGCTTTCAGGGCCAAATGTGATTTTATGGGTCCAGTTCCAGATCCAGATCCTCCAGTTCTAGGTGTACATTGCAATTCCTGTGACAAAGACGAAAAATGTGTGTTTTTTTGGTAGGGGGGAGGCGGGTTCCTGATCCAGTTCCTGTGGGGAACACTAAGTGTCTTACTAGTAGTAACAAGAAGCTACTAGAAACAAGTGCCTCCCTACTAGGAGCAAGCGCCTTACTAGTAGTAACAAGAAGCTACTAGTAACAAGTGCCTCGCTACTAGGAGCAAGTGCCTTACTAGTAGTAACAAGAAGCTACTAGTAACAAGTGCCTCGCTACTAGGAGCAAGTGCCTTACTAGTAGTAACAAGAAGCTACTAGTAACAAGTGCCTCGCTGCTAGGAGCAAGTGTCTTACTAGTAGTAGCAAGAAGCTACTAGTAACA